CCCAGCTCCTTGACATGCTAGATTTCTATGTGCAGGGAAGGCCCACGGGCTGGTGAGCTGAAGTGATACAGCCGAGACACAAGCTTATTGGCTCGGCAAGACACGGGAAAAGCTGCCAATCCACCTAGCCCGACACAAAAACGCTTGTTTCGGAAGAGAACCCCGATTATAACTTCCTGCGATTACGCCTGAGAAGCGACTCTGTTCCATTGGGTTTGCTGTCAGGAAAAGGTCAAAGGAGCCCTTCCAAGGCCAGGGCGACTTATTTTATATTGTTATTTTTGTGTTTTAACTTTATGTCTGCACTTTACAAACAAAATACAAACATTAAGTTATAACCTTAAATTAAAATGTTTGTAAATTATTTTATTATTAAAATAAATACAAATGTATTTGTATTTTAACTTAATGTTGTAAGCCGCCCCGAGGCTTTGGTGAATGGGGCAGCATAAAAATGTCTTAATAAATAAATAAATAAATAAATAAAGGCTCTGTTGCTGCAGCAATAGGGAAAGTTAATCTAAAATATACTGGTATTTTTTGCCCTACCCTTCTTGCCCCACCAGAACCCCCCCCCCCCCCCCCCCGCTAGATGCAGGACCGAAGAGAGCAATGGAAGGAAAGATTTTCCCCAGAGCAAATCCATGGAGTGGTTTCTTTTTCTTCACACAAAAATCAGGGTGAAGATGGGGAAAGCTGCATCCTTTAATAGCCCCCCTACTCCCCAAATATTTGGTCTGAAAGAGCAGCGTACTTTTAGACTTGCCATCTGAAGGTATGCATGAACGGACCCCTTACAGAGTCACTGAATAGTTGCAGAAGTCAGTGGGGGTGCTGGCACGGGTGCCAAACTCTGAGGGCAGGGCAACTGATGTTAAAATAACAATAAAGTACACACTGGCTCCAAAACACTCAGAGAGCCCCAAGTTTCCCACCCATGTACTAAATGAAGCTGTGTTTCCCTTCCATTATAGACCAATGAAGCATTGCATCGAGGTATATGAAAAGGCATGAGCCAGCTTGTTTTGAGGCTTAGTGGGGGCAGAAGGTCAGGCAGAACCACTGCAACTTCCAAGAAGCCTCAGGCTGCAGCCTGACACAATCAAGCCCATTCAGCCTCTGAATCCTGCTGGTGAGAGAACAAGGAAAGAGACCAAAATATGCAGTAGGGTTTTTGTGTTGTGGCTTCAGAGCAGGAATTACTCATTTTATGACTATTATTTTAATTTCTATACGCACCAATATTCAAAGCTCTCTGAGCAGTTTACAACCTATCTCCCTAAGCTGTGGGAATTTGGAATTTCAGTAGCCTTAGCAGCCCCAAAAGGTTGGCATTCATTTTGCCCTGCATCATCTCTCCCGTTTTGTGTAGAATTTGGAAGATTTTTCTGAGTACAGAAATAACATTTTGCAAAGGAACCCGGTGTATACCTCTTGGTTTATATGGAGCTTTACAGATATCCCCCAACTACTTGATATTCCTTTTCCATATATTTGTTAGGAATTTACGACATCCTTATGTTTCACAGTCCTTTCAAAAAACGATCCTTTAGCCCCCACCCCCAAAACCATCATCCAGCTCTTTCCCAGGTACCTGCGTGGCCACAATATCAACCCTGAAGGTTTGTCTAAAGAATTAGCAAATGGTTTTCTTTTCCAGAAGGCAGAGCAGGGGAATAAGTGCAGGAGGTGAGAAACTTCAAAGGGTCATTGTGAGAGATCAGAGAGGGGGCCCTGCATCCCCCCCCCCCCCACTGGGAAGGAGAGGGCAATAGAATTTTATGATCTACTGGCTGGATCCCTTTCAAGTCCTGGGATCTTTTGAGTCTTCCCCTTCTTCTGGACTTCTGCCTGGCTCTTAATCATTTGGGCCCTCCCTGTTAAGAAGGGTGTTGTGGGGGTGGGTGGGAAAGGGGCCGCGGGGGGGGGGGCGTGTTTCAAGTCCACCTTGAAGCTGCAAGATGTTTAGTAAGAAGACCACTGGCCCTGCTTGGCTTGGGGCATTTTCTCCGTTGGGAAACCCATCTGTAGTTAGGAAAAGGTTAGCAACGCCTTTTGCAAGACAGAGGCAGGCCTTTGAGTATCACAGAACGCTGGTGCTGTGCAAGGTGCCCTTTAGCTAGTCGCTAGAACTGGCTCGCTGTCCTCCCTTCCTTCCTTCCTTCCTTCCTTCCTTCCTTCCTTCCTTCCTTCCTTCCTTCCTTCCTTCCAAATTTTTATATGCCCTCCAATGCTAAAGTCTCTGGACAGCATACAAACAAACAAACAAACTAAAAAGAACAACACACAGCGTACGGCATCCGACCATTAATCATAAAATCAAAGAAAACACTAATTAACTGTTAAACTACTGGGAAAATAAAGAGGTTTTCACCTGACGCCAAAAAGAATAGAGCAACGGCGCCAGGTGAACCTCCCTGGGGAGCGTGTGCCAAAGTCAGGGCGCCACCGCCGAAAAGGCCCTTCTCCGGGCCGCTACCCTCCTAATTTGCTGCTTCTGCACACGTCCGGCTTTGTTGTCCGAGTGTTGTGAGGAGTGACGCATCCTTTTTGTGATCACGAGCAGCTCTTGCTGTCTGTCCCTTGCAATCCCCCCCCCCCCACACACACACACTCTGGTCTCTCTCCCTAGAAGTGGAGGGACAGCAGACAGCTCCAGCAAGCAGGGCCAGACTGCAACTCCCGTCATCCCCAGCCAGCACAGAGATCATGGGGCCTGGAAAAGAATGCATCCAGGGGGCTGCCGGAGAGAAGGTTGCTCTGCAGAGAATGTGGCATTCTCCCCCCACCCCCCGCCCCATTTCCCAGAGTAGCATAAGCCTTGCTGGGGGCCAACCTCACTCCGGCTGGCAAAGACCTCCAAGTCCTCCTTCCAGCACCGGCCCTGCGCAGCTGCTCCACCGTGGCCCCCCCGCGGAAGGGCCACGCTCCGGTGCAGCGCAGCAGCCGCGCGGAGCACCGTCGGCGCGGCTGACGTTAGGGGAACGGCTGCCTTCTCAACCTGAACACCCAGCGCCCGCTGCGCCACCCCTCCAAGGGCCCACCCGTCCGATACCCCCCAGGAAGACGCAGCGGCTTCGTCATGGATGGTGGACCTGCAAGGACGCGGGCATTTCTGGATTGCTTCAGGTACGAGTCAGGAAAATGGTCTCGCGCCCAATGCAGCTCCCCGGCCCATACGCCAGCCGGGCTGCTAGAGTAAGGGCATTCTCGGCAGAGCAGGTGGAAGGTTTCAGCCCAATGCTACCACTCTGCGTTCGCCAGATGGCTGTTTTCACCCCGCCGGTTGGGCGCTTCTGAGATGGAGGAAACTCCCCAAGGTTCAACACACCTTGCCCCGGAGGAGGAACCCTGCTTCCCACCTTGCCTGCTGGAAAGCCACCTTCGTCTCCTCTCCAAGGTTGAGTTTCCAACCTCAGCGAGGCGGCTGGTGGCTCAGATTCCAGCAGTGAAAGACTGGAAAAAGAAGCGGCAACAGGGATGGGAAGATATTATTTGGCAGAGTTTATTGATGCATAAGATCTCGTTTTACCAAAAAACACCTAGGAGGTCTCAGGTATGAAACCGTATTCTTTAGATCAGTGGGTTCTACTTATTCCATAGTGGAGACGAAAGGATAATTGCTGCCTACAGAAGTTGTTTAACAGGAACCACTAGGTATAAATCAAGCTGGACTGGAAAAAGAAGCAGATGTATCAATGAGCTTTGCTGAGGATTTCGTGGTAAATGATGTCGTTAATCCACTGATGTCCAAGCGATGTTTCTCCAAAACAGAAATATGCAAAATTATAACGGGAGGATCATGCTTAGGGCTCTGTGGCCAGGGAGAGCACAAATGATTCGTCACACAGCCTGCGCGGGAACAGCCCGTCCACCGTCTTCGGAGAGCGACCCCGGCCGAGCCGTCCTTCCTCAGCTGGTCCTCTACCAGCCCCTGACTGGCTTCCAGGTGGCCACCACCTCGCCCTGGCGGTGCACGTAATAAAGCGGGTGCATTGCGGCCGTCGCACAGGCCTGTCACCGATACAGAGGGGTGAGCAAGGCTTGCGTGCAAGATGCATTTTCTTGATTAGGGAAATGCAGAATCATGCTGCAAACTCAGAAAGGCAGCTGAGGTTGGGGGGGGGGGTCGTCTCTGGAAAGCCCACATCTGCCCTATGCCAGCTGTGGCCCGAATGTCTGACCTTTGGGCAGGTGCTGAGGGCAGGTGGGGAGCAGCAAGGCACTACCCCCCTTGCTAAATCCAAGTGCTGCCTCAGACTCCCATCTTTGCAAGGAGAGGGAAAAATTCAGAGGGCCCAAATCACAGAAACAGGGTGAGGCAGAAGGGGTCTCCTGGGCCATCTAGTCTGACCCCCAACTCCAGCGGTCTAAACCAGCTGTCTAAGTCAGCCTCCCCGAACCTGGTGACCTGCAGATGCATTTGGACCACAACTTCCAGAATTCCCACCCAGCAGGGCCATAGGCTGGGGATTCTGGGAGTTGTGGTCCAAACGTGTCTGGAAGGCACAAGGCTGGGGAAAGCCAGTCTAACGTTTCTGCAAGCGGGGCAGCACCCCAAGGAAACCCAGGCTTCCACCCTCCCCCTGCCTGGATGCTCAGGACTGACCGTACCCTCCCTGGCTCGGTGGCTTCAGCTTTCCAGCCGCAGCGCTTCCGGCGAGGAAGGAAGGAAGGCGGCTGGGGCACCTCCGGGATGCCTCCCCACGCCCTTCTCCAACCCCCTTCCCCTTCCCCAATCCAGTCCCTTGACCTCAGATCAGCAGCCACCATGCTTATGGCAGAGGCCATTTTGGAAGGGGGGGGCGCCGCTGGGAAGGCCCCTTTCTTGCAGCCACCCGCCTGGTGAGGATGCACATCTGTGCGCAGCCCTTCGAGAGAGACTTACGTGGTAGGGAATGAGGGCCAGGAGGCTTCCCAGGGGGAACCTGCTGAAATCCAGCTTCCCGGAGGCGGGCTCGATCCTGCCGTGCTCCTGGGACATCCCCACCAACCTGTGCAGAGCGAGAGGAGCCCACAGTCCACCTGCAATTGGCTTCGCTGCCTCCAACCCCCCCCGACAGCTGCGGCCCCACAGAATTCCGCAGCCCCCGTCTGTGCCAGCCCCGTGGCCGCGCACTGGGTCCCCTCCCTTCCTCTGGGCTGGCTCGCGCAAGGGCAGGGGCACCGAGTATCTTCTGTCCCAGGTGCGGAATTCCACCCTGGAGAAGCTCCCGGTGGTCCGGGTGGGCGGGGCCGGAGGCAAAGGGGCAGGGCTAGAAGAGCAGGGGGTCTGAATGCACAGCTCTGAGCCTCTGGAGAGCCGTGCGGGTCCTTCCGCACAGGGAAACGGCATGCAAAATCCGGGAGACTCCAACTGGCAGCCAGGGGTGGCTTGAGGGGGGAAGCTCATTCGGGGGACTCTGAGCGCTGAATTTGGTCCCCCGGCCTGAGCCTCAGCACCCCCAGTATAAGGCCGCAAAAGCTGTTTCGTTCTGAGACGTGGCATCAGGGCGAGTCTAGATCTGCAGTGCCGTCCCTACGAGGGAGGAGGGAGCCCCATCCCAGAATCCAGAGCTCTGGGCACCCTGCCTCCTGGCTCTCACCCCCTCCGCCCCACCACCGCTCTACTTTGGGCCTTCAATTAGGGTTCGGGCTGTGAACAGGCGCCTCCCGCCCCGTGGCGGTCCTCTTGTGCGAGCGCCCACGACTCTCAATATTCCAAACCTCCCAGAGGGGCCCCAAAAGCTGGGCGATCTCGTCCGTTCTCGTGGCACATGCAACCCCGGACACCCGCCGGGAAGTAGCGACTTCCAGATGCCAGCTGGACGTAAACCGTAGAAGGCATTTCACTGGGGCCTTGCTGGGCACTGCAGGTGGGCCGAATTTCACAGGCTCCCTGCCTGTTCCAGCCGTGCCTTTTAACAATCCGGGGGGGGGGGGGCACTGCAGATCAGTGCAGGGGACCTCTGCTAAGGGCGTCAAGAGGGCCAGGGGCGGCCAGCGGCTGTGGGTGCACCCCCGCCCCCCGAGTTGGCCGCCGCGCGTTGCGTACTTGAGGTCAGGGTGGCCGTCCACCAGGGCGTATCCTGTCGGCAACTGCCCCAAGCTGTGCAGGCTCAAGCTGGCCCAGCCGCAGTCCACCAGCAGCTGGTTGCGGTGCGGATAGTGGCCGATGACCCTCGTCAAGACGCGGACGGCAATCTCCTCCCGGCGGCATGACCCGACCATCATCTGCTGGACATCTGAGCAAATCAAGAGGAGCGAGGTCAGCGGAGGGAGGTTGCCGCACCTGGACAGCCGGTCGCCCCCGTGAAAGAGGAACGAGAGGTCACGGGGAAGGGGAGCCCAACCTGTCGCCACCAGGCCCTCCGACGAATCTTCGGGGTGGCCAAACCTGGAGTCCTTTCTACAAGGCACAGTCCCTAAAAGAGGATTTGGTGGAGCTGGGGAAGTGCAGAAGGGCGAACAAAGAGTGCGGCTCCCAGCTGGGAGTCGTGGGCCGTTTGGTGGGAGCAGGCATGGATCGTGCCCTGTATTTGCTTGCACGGAGCAGCTTCCCTGCAAGCAAATATATAAAAGAGGATCATCCAGGAGTTGCGGGGTAGCTGTAGAGCTCCATATAAACCTAGAGGTTCCTTTGCAAGAACAGCAATGCTACTTCTGTACTCAGAAAAACCTTCCAAATGCTTTATTGTGTTCAGTTCAGGGCCCCTCATTCAGGAAGGATGTAGCCAGGTTGGAGTCAGCGCAGCGTAGGGCCACAAGGTTGGTGGCCGGTTTGCAGGGGATGATGGGGTATGAGGCGAGACTGAGGGGACTGGGTCTCTTCAGCCTGGAGAAGGGGAGACTCAGAGGGGATCTGTTGGCGACATGCAGGTATGCGAGGGGGTGTCACACGGAGGTGGGTAGAGACCTGTTCTCCCCTGCAGAGGAAGGCAGGATGTGCTCCAATGGAGCAAAGCTCAGGGAACCCAGGTTCCACTTGGATGCCAGGAAGCACTTCCTGACAGTCAGGACCCCGAGGATGTGGAATGGGCTTCCACAGAGGTGGTTGAGGCCCCATCGGTGCGGGTGTTCAAGGATAGGCTGGACGTCCACATGGTGGGCATGTCGTGAGCAGAGCCGGCTGGAGCCGGGGGTCAGACTAGATGGCCCGGGAGACCCCTTCCGACTCGCTCTGTTTCTGTGTTACACAAAAAGGGAGAGATGATGCAGGGCAAAACGAATGCCAACCTTTTAGGGCTGCTGAGGCTACTGAAATCCCAAATTCCCACAGCTTAGGGAAACTGAAGGGCTGTAAACTGCCCAGAGAGCTTGGCTATTGGCAAGTACGGAAATAAACACAGGGCCTGTTTAGCTGAGAAAAAGGCCGAGTGGGGGCAGGCAGCGTACGAGGGCCTTGCCTCCCTCTCCAATACAAGAACCCAAAGGGTCGCTCACCCCACAACGCAGATCGGGGGGAGAGTTGGGATGGAGGCAAGCAAGGCCCAGAACCAAACGGTGGGGATTTGGTTCCACGGAACGTGGGGGTGGCTCGAAAAAGCGGTTGGATAAATTCGAGGAGGAGGTGGCAGTTATCCAGGCTGCAAGCTCCCTGCAGGACAGCTGGGGAACATGGGTGGCAGGGTGCCTGCTTGTAGGCCTTCCGTGGGGGGCCGGCCACGTGTGAAGCGTAGGCTGGATCGGAACCACACTTGTCCTGGATTGGAGCCAACAGACCCCCCCCCCCCAGCAACCTGGCCCTCTTTTCTCCTGGGCACTGATTTGCATCACTTCCCTGCAACTTTGCTCAAGGGGGGGATCACTCTGGGCATACACAGAGTTCTTTCCCTCCAAGAGCAGCCTGTTGCATAGGTTGCGGGATGCATGGCCTGGGAGTGTGGCGAGGGCGACCTCCCCAGCCGTGGACACGCTGCGGCAACCGCGGCCACGGCAAGCAGGCCCCTCGCCGGTCGGGAGAATCGGATCAGGGTTCTCCCCCCACCGCAGCCAGGTTCCCACATCTTCCTCCGCCTGCTTGGGCATTCTTTGGAATCATCCATGTGGGGGAGCACAGACACATGGAACGTGTTATGCAGGAAACGGAGCAGCAAATCTGCATAACTTACGGAGGAAAGAATGCGGAGCGGAGCGGAGGGCTGGGTTCCCGGCAGCCTCCTTCCCGCACGGGCTCTCTAGCAAAACCCGGCAAAGCCGCTTCTCCTGGGTGTTATTTATCCGTGGCAGCCACTTCCGTGGAAGCCGTGGCTCAGAGATGAGCGTGCACGTTCCATGCGGAAAGTCCCTGGATGAACTCAGGGCATCTCCAGTTGCAACTGGCCCCGGAATCCGCTTGGCCCAGCTTTCCCGGCAAGAAAGCCCTGCAGACCTACAGGCTGGTCCTGGAGCAGGAGGACCCGGGTTCAAATCCACACCGGTCCCAAAGTTAACAGTCACCATCTCTCCATCCAATCTACCTCGGAGGATCGTGTAAGGGGAGGTGGTGAAGGTTTTGGGACCAGGGGCCAAATTCCCATTTGGGAAGGGTCTCGAGGGCCACATCCTGGGAGTGGGAGGGGCTAAAGGCACAGGGCGGGGCTGAGGGCGGAGCAAGAGAAGTGGGCAGGGCCAGAGGCGGCTCTCACGGAAAACAGTTCATTTCCGAGCAACTCTACTCACGAGTAAGGCCTGGTGCAACAGCTCTCATGCCTGAAGGAGGCACAGGTCCATTTTAGGAACTGGCTTTCTTGTCTGTAAAGTTTGATTATTTAAGGGAGAATTGCCTTAAAGACTTTTCTTTTCCAGTGTGGATTGGAGATAGCAGCTGAAGAGGCTTGAACGGAGTCTCTGGGTTAGCCATCCTTGTTGTGAGGATAGATTTTATTCACTTAATTATTTTAAAATTACAGATTTACCGTTGTGTGGCTCTGTCTATATGGCTGGGAAATTTATACATCTTGAACAGGACAATCAACCATGCAGCCCGGTGCCCGTAAAACAGACCACCTTCTCTCAAAATAACGGAAATATCGGCATAAGACAATCTGCCCCAATCTGTTACCCTCTGCATGTGCTGGCCTGCAACCTCCATCACCTCTAGCCAGCACAGCTGCAACCAGGGCAGCTCAGAACGATGGGAGTTGGAGTCCATACACTCAGGTCAGTGAAAGCCGCCAGGATCAACAGAATGCGAAGGGCAACTTCCGTTCTAGCTTCAGCTGGAGTTACAGCGGGTCTTTTAAACTGGTTGCAGAAAGCTTTGGGAAAGGTAATTCCGCATCATCGGGGAGGCAACGGAGAAGGCCCTGCTTCTGGTGAGGGCCAGCCTAGCTTTCCCTAAGTTGGAGCGGCAGTCCTCAGCGGAAACTCTGAAATGCTCGAGGGGCCCACGCAGGAAAAAGGATGCTGCGGGGTCCACTGCACTCAGACATGCCAAAACGGGCGATATGGCTGCAGAACCGTTTCCACCTAGGCACTGTGGGCAGAAGGCGCTAGACTCTTCATCATGGCATGAACACACACACACACACGCACACCCTGCCACCCCAGTCTCCTTGGATCCAAAGAGGCAAGCCAGAAAGCCCTGCCTCCTGGAACGGCTACGGGCTTGGGGGCGCACACCCCGAGTTTGCTCATTCCACGCCAGGCTTACCGTAGAAGATGTAATTCCCGGGATGAACCTCAGTGAGCCTGCCCATCTTGGGCACGGGACGGCTGCAGGTCGGCGTGGATCCGATGCTGCAGACGGAGCAGCTCAGCCCGGCCTCCTGCAGCCTGGCAGGGAAGACCAAAACATAAGCTGATGTCTTTGAAGCCTCTGGCACGTCTGCGGAGAGGCGGAATCACCACAGGCCGCCGGGACACCTGGGAGCGAAGCAGCCGCTTTGGGGTGGCGAGCTCCTTCGCTCTGGAATGTGCAGGCTGTGCTTTACTTGTGCCTATCCAGCCATTTCTGACGCCTGGACATCCACTGGACCTTCATAAGAACCCTGCGAGGTAGGCCAGGCGTAAGCGGAGGGGATGGGCTCAAGACCACCTAATGATTTTCATGGCCCAAACAAGATTTGACCCGCCATTTCCCGCTACGGCGGTGCGATTTTTTGTGGGCATGGCTAGCAAAGCTGGAAATTCTGCTCAAGCTTCCCTCGTCCGTGGCACTCGCCTCTCCAAGAGCTCAGGCACAATCTCCCGCTCGGTGCTGGGAATGGAGCAAGAGTCCATTATGTGGAAAATAACCCTGACTCCTTGTTGAATTCTCAGAGCTTTGGGCTGTACAGTGCTGCAAACCAGGCATCGTAAGATTCAGGGCTGCTCCCCTGAATCCCGAAAGCTCAGAATCTGCACAGGGTGAATTTCAGGAGCGCTCTGATGCTCTTCCGCGAGCGAGAAGCAATAAGGTGCCTGGGGATTTCTGGCTTCCTGCAGAGACTTTGACTCAGAGCGGCCTGGGAAGTATCAACGGGATCACTAGGAGATGGGCCATAAATACAGAACCTGCCAAGATGCTGAACCGGTCCAGGCAGAAAGCCAAGAGCCTTGGCACCCATGTTTCTTGGCAGCCCTTCTGGGGGGCGAACCCCAACAAATTATCTGAATGAGACGGTGGTCTTCATCTCTTTAAGACGAGTTGTTGTGTGTGGCCATTTGGAGTTATCCACTGCGCATTTCAAGGGCACAGTTCCACCCAGGCTTAGGCCAAAAAAACCTTCTCTGATTCAGCCTGGGGAGGATTGTGCCCTTAATCTTTGATTTTTTGGTCATTAGGAAATGTGAGGCCGAAAAAGCAGAAAGTCAAAATACAAGAAAAAAAAAAGATTTTTGGTCTAATGTTTGCTATGGTGAAATGTGTTTATTTTAATTATTAAAGTAAGTTATTCTCTTATTTGGTATTTATTTATTATTTCAAGCTGCCCCGAGATCCTTCTGGCTACAGGCTGGGATACAAATTCATACATACACACATATGTACATACGTACGCACGTTCATTACCACTACAAGAGTCCACAACTGGATTCCCTGAGCAGCTGAAAAACTTACCAAATGTTATTAGCCTATAGGACAGGCTTTACAGAAAATCAGTCAAACAGTACTGGAATCTGGCTTGCTGAACTTCGCAATGGCCTAGACCTCAGCGAGGAGCTGGACCTGCAGCTCAGATGACTGGCACCAGGAGCTCACTCCTTTTATTTAGTTATTTATTTCATTTCGATAGCGTCCTGCACCCAAAGCTCTCTGCGTGGTTTGCAACAATGCATAAAAACAAAACAATAAAATATAATACAAATGTGATGCCCCGACCCTTGAGAGCTGAGGCAGAGGCCCTCCTCCGGGAGCCCTCTTTGAAGGAAATTAGGAGGGTGGCTACTCGGAGAAGGGGCTTTTCAGCGGTGGCACCCCAATTGTGGAACATGTTCCCCAGGGAGGTTCGCCTCGCGTCGTCGCTTTATTCTTTTCGGCATCAGGCGAAGCCCTTTTCATTTTCCCCATATTTTAACAGCTAATTGGTTTTATCTTTGATTTTATCATTATTTATCAGATGCAGTGTGTTGTGTGTTGTTTGTTGTATATGGTTGCTTTGTTCTTTTGTTTTCTGTGAGCTGTCCAGAGACTTTAGCATTGGACGGCATAGAAAAACTTTAAATAAATTAAAGATAATAAATAAATAAATACCACACCAACAAAACAACCTTAAAATGAATTTAAGATGGCCAATAAATATTTATGTAAAAGGACCCTGCAAAGGCATAGAATCACCGGAAAAATATCCTCAGGCCCCTAACCTTCTTCCGAGGTTTCTCTCCGCAGGGAATCTTACTGTGGGAAATTTCTGTGGCTCTTCCACATACAGTAAACACTGAAGATGCGCCAGAGCCGTTACCCAATGCAAGCGGAGCGTTCCCGGCTGGGGAAAAACGCAGGGAAGGCCGTTTCCATGGAATGCTGGGGGGGGGGGCTGCATCCCGTGCCCCCAGTTGCTGATGCAGAAATGCCTCGGCTCAGTTCCCTGCCTTTGGCGTGCGGAGCCGCACTCGCCCTTCCGAGCTTTCGCGTTGCTCTGCCCGCCTCCGGACTCCAGCCAGGCCCTATTTCAGGAGGACATCTGGCAGGCATTTCTTCCCGGAAGGGTGTCTGGTCAGAGAGAGGGACGGATCCACAGGAGCTGCTGCTGCGCATCCAGCCGGGCTCACCGTGACTCCGAGGTCGTGAGGCGGTTGACCGCAGCAATGCAGAAACGGCCCAGCAGGCTCCCCGGCCGGCTCCCTCCCTGGACAGAGCCCATGTGCGCTCCAAGAGAAGCCGTCTCCTTCCCCCACTGGAGTCCTTGACGTGGCCACATACCAGGCGTGGTTATGTTAAGATGCTCTGGCGCAATGCTAGCAAAGCAGCAAGGCGGGTGGCGTTAACTCCAGAAAGTGGCCGCTCCGATCTCTCTCTCGGCAGTTTGCAATTTGTCAAGACGGAGGACTGAGGGGAGGATGCATATGATGGCGTGATGCGTAAGCAGGCATAAGAGGGAAGGATCTGGGAATCTGAGCAGTGAGCTCAACCTCTCAACTTTAATTAGGAACAGCAACTCAAGGTTCTAGTCCTCAAGATTACAGTGAGAACTCGTTCAGTGTCATTGCTGCTTCTGCTAAAAAGCAGAAGGGGAGAATGATAGGTCAGGGTGGGAGTTCAGACGCACAACCCTAATATAGGGCTAAAGTTCCATTGAAAAGAGGGCAATTTTGAAAAAGCCTTCCTTGAGTAGCCTTTTCTGCACAGCCCATCATTCTTGCCCATTCTAAACACATTCCAACCATCAAAACCATGCCAGGACACCTCATTTTTCTAACCCTAGCCCTACCCTGGTGCACACCCCTAACCCTAGTATAGGGGTAAAGTTCCATTGAAAAGGGCAATTTTGAAAAAGCTTTCCTGGAGTAGCTTTTTATGCACAGCTCATACTTTCTGCCCAACCTGAACACATTCCAACCATCAAAACCATGCCAGGACACCTCGTTTTCCTAACCCTAACCCTACCCTGGTGAACACCCCTAACCCTCATTGAGGGGGAAGATTCCACTGGAAGGGGCGATTTTGAATAAGCCTTCCTTGAGTAGCATGTTGTTGTTGTTGTTGTTGTTGTTGTTGTTGTTGTTGTTATTATTATTATTATTATTATTATTATAACATTTCTATGCCGCCCCTTGCCGAAGCCTCGGGGCGGCTTACAAACACAGTAAAATACAATAAAATACAAAAATAACAATATAAAATTAAAATTAACAATATAAAATAAATATAAATATAAAATATACATATAAAATATAAAATATGCACAGCTGTTCATTTCTGCCCAACCTGAACGCATTCCAACCAGCAAAACCATGCCAGGACACCTCGTTTTTCTAGCCCTAACCTAGTGATGGCGAACCTTTAAGAGACCAAGTGCCCAAACTGCAACCCAAAACCCACTTATTTATGGCAAAGTGCCAACACTGCAATTAAACCTGAAAACAGCCAGTCCAAGAAAATATATATTTATATATCTTTGGCAGCGCATTGACCGGCCATGCGAAAGCTCGGACGAGTCATGGCTCATGAGTCGTGGCTCGTGACATCATCCCCGGCACCACGACTCCTTTCCGAGCGTGCGCATGGCCCCCATGAGCGCTGTTACCCGATGCTCGGCTGCTGGGGCGATGCTGGGGCGACTGGGCTCGCGTGCCGCACGACAGAGAGGGCTCTGGGTGCCCGCTGTGGCAGGACTGCCACAGGTTCGCCACCACTGGCCTATGGGTTCTTGGCAAGAGGAGAAAACACAGAATATAAACGTAATAATAATCAATAATTGGCAAGAAGAAAGAGGAGAAAAGAGGGCACTAGTTTGCATAATTTCTGCCTGTGCTTGTGTTAATGTTCAGGTGCATGGGACTGGGACTCAAAGGATCCGGGTTCGAGTCCCTGCTCAGCCATGGAGCCAACTGGGTGACTTTGGGCCAGTCACAGACTCTCAGCCCAGCCTACCTCACAGGGTTGTTTTTGTGCGGATAAGATGGAGGAGGAGAATGATGTAAGCTGCCTTGAGCCCTTTGTAGGAAAAAGGCAGGATATAAATCCAAAAATAATAAATAAATAAATAAATAAAATAATCTAAATAGAAATAGAATACAGCGCACCCTGTTGAGCAGGTGGCTTGCCGGGTCCGTAGTCCCCATGATCAGAGCTGCAGGGCAAATAGGCAATGCTTTCCTGCCCCTGCGAAATCAGAGTTGCAGAGCACAGCCCAGGAAAGAGGACCGTCCACTGCAAAGTAGGACACCTGGCCACCCTGAGGAGCGAGGGAGGGAGGGAGGGAGAGCATGTGTCCCCTCACTGCCGAGATGCGTCGCCGGCCTCGTCGGGAGTCTCCATTTTCGTGGCTCCAATGGGTGTGAATGCAAACCTGCTCCGGAGTTTCGTTTCTGGTGGGAAACGAGGACAGCGCAGGGGCCGGGGGCAAAAGAAGACCCCCCCTGGGGGGGAGGGGTGGGGGGATTGCTTATTGCCCCTCCTGTCCAGCCCAGGTGGCCTGGGGGCGCCTGAAAACGGGTTGTCCTCCGCTCGCTTCCCCTGCGCTGCCCTCGCTTGCAGCCCAGCGCCAGCCAACAACCCCCCCGGGTGTGAACCACCCCCCGGCTTTGTACGAGTGCTGGGGGTGGGGGGCATTCAAAGGATGTGGGGGGGGCAGTTGTCTTGCCCAAGCCCAGCTGCACCCTTTCGTTTGCTTTGAAGAGGCGTCTTCAAAGGC